TCCTGACCTGGGGACGCTAGCAGTGCCACAGCTGTCCTCCAGTCACCACTTCTCTCCACACTGGCAGAAAAAAGACCGAGATCACGCCTCAGTGCGCTTCCAATGAGGCCCAGCGGGGATGACCTCCACGCAGTTCCATGTGCGGGCGGCTTGTAACTATGCCTCAGAGGAAGTACCAGCCTCTGGGAGTCCGCACCAATGGAGGGGGCGCCCTACCCCTGCCCTCATCGAGTCTCTAGTCTGAGGGGGAGGGTGGCTTCTGTTTCTAGGCTCTCATTAGCCTAGAGGGGACATCCACCTCGCCTGCTCTGAGTCCCCAATTTGGCAGGTGCACGACTCTCTAGAAGAGCCTAAGCTAAGAGATAGGAGCAGGCTTTTTAGAGGCCATGACGTTAGGAGACAACAGGAAGCGAGATGGAGTGGGGAGGGCCAGCTGGCAACGTGGTGGTGAAGGTGGTTGGATCATACGTGGCCAACTGCACAGTTCAAGCCCCAGACCTGGCAGCTTGCAAAACACGCTGGGCACGTGTGTGTGTGTGTGTGTGTGTGTGTGTGTGTCCATCACACCCAGAATCCCAAGAGAATGGAGAAGGAATTGCCGCATGGCTATCCTCCCCCCAGGAGGTGCTTTCGTCATTTCCCTCTCCCTTTCTCTCGCTGTGTCTCTGGCGAGTACATGCGTCCACTCACAAATTAAAAGGAAACAACACACACAAAAAAGGTGGAGCGGGGAGCTGAAGCAGGATTCTGGAGGAGGGAGGGTGGGAGCACTGAGGGCTAGAGACAGCAGGCAGTGCAGGAAGGCAGCTATAGAATTGCCTTGGCTTCAGCTCCAGGGGGATCTTTGAGGTGTGGGTGGCCAAGGGAGGTCCTTACTAGCCCCCCAAAAGACCTCATGGCCCCTCTGCAACCAAGCTAAGTCACTCCTTCCTCCCCGCTCCCCAGATGGGGGGCCCCTGAGCAAAGACCCTCGGGACAGCCTGGGCCAAGCTTCCCTTCAGTAGGTGCAGAAGTACCCCTGTTTCCTAAGCCAGGCCGTTCTGGGGGAGTTGGAAAGCACCTGCTCCCACTGAGTGCCCTGGGCAGAGCCAGGTCTCCAGAGGGCTCAGACCCGACTTTAACAGCCTGAGCTGTCTCAGTAGAAGCAGAAAACCGACACTGACAGCTCTGGGCCCACCCACCAGCCTGGTACTCTGCTCCCAAGGGCCTGGTTTGCTTTACTCCTCCGCCTGGCTGTACCCTGGAGACCAAGCCTGGGCCACATTGGCAGTTGGCGCCCCCAGGCTGGCAGAAACGCCTCACCACCCCGGGTTCCCTGGGTGCCGAGAGGGCAGCCACTGCTTGCCCTGCTGACAGTTCCCGCCCGTCACAGGCCCCCCTCTGCATTGAACTTCCAAAGCTGTGTTGTTGCAGGTAATTAAAGGGTTTTAATTAAATTAGGATCCCATCTGGCTGGGATCAGTCAGGCCCTTAACGAGGATTGTGTGTCACCAACATCAGAATGTGGAAGGGGACTCAGACACATGGGGGGCCGAATTTGGGGACTGGAAACCTCTCAGACGGGGAAGAGAATCCTCTGAGCTCCTCAAGGGCTCCCAGCAATGTAGCAGAGCCTTGTCCCACCTCCCAAAACGAGGCTGGCTGCTGAGATGCCTGGGAGGGGGAGGGGGCCCAAGCTTTCCCAAGTTCGCTAACCATCTACAAAACCTCTCTGAAGTGTGACAAGCCACGTGAGCATTAATTGTTCAGGTGAGGAAACCGAGGTCCACACAAGTGAACTGCTCAAACCCAGCCACCGAATCAGGTGGAGCCAGATGTAACGACAAGAAACGGAGGCCCGATGCACAGTGGCTTAAATATGAACTGTTTGATTTTTCCCTTGTCTAAGTCTTATAGGGGGCCAGCAAGTGGGGTGTAGGCTAAGGTACTGGATTCCCACACGGTTGACGGCAAATCCAGTCCTAGACCTGGTGGCTTGAAATCACGCCAGGCATCCATGCATGTGAGCCCAAAATCCCAGAAGAGAATGGAGAAGGGATTGTGGTGTGGCCATCACCCTGGGGGATAATTTCTCATTTTCTCTCTCTTTTTCCGGTGAGCACAAAAAATTGGCAAAAAAACTAAAAGGAAAAAAGTCTTAAGGTAAGCAGCCAATGGCCGGTATATTTCTATTGCACAACATTTTCAGAGGACTGGGACTTCAAACTCACTGCCCTGCCACTTCAAGGGGCAAAGGGCGGACATCAAGTGTGTAAGATTTCTGGAAGTTGCCATAACATCCTTTGGCTTCAATGTTGTTGGCCAGATCTTCATCATCTGGGTGGCGGGGACAGGGAAACACAGGGTGTATTTCAGCCCGTGTGCTTCACCAAACACTGAGGATCTCACTTCAGTGAGGAGGGAATGGCTGTTACGGGACAAGTAGTGTTCTTTGCCACATGCGTCATGGGGCAGAGCCAGGGTAAGAACACAGGTCACCTACCTCCAGCTTGGGGCCCTTTCACCTCCCCACACTGGGAGCAAGGCTGGTGTTGACATAAACCTGTCTCCAAAAACAAGGGGAAGAAACATCTGTTGGGCAATCCATGTAACCCACCTCGGAGGCGGGCAGAGCCCTGGCCGTGCATACAAGGAGGCCCTGGGAGGTGTTCTGATCTCCTGAGGTTCCCCAGCTGCTCATTCACAGACCTGGGAGAGGGCTCAGAGACAGGCCTGGCCCTGTTCCTGCAGCTCCCGGGGACCCCGTCCAGTCACTGCAGCCTCTGTGGTTCTGGAGGAGTCCGCTTGTGCCTTGAGACCACCTAGCGGGTGGGCCTGAGAGGAACTGGGAGGCCTCGAATTAGGCTTCTTCGCTTGAATTAGTATCACACTGGCCTTTGAGTTTGGCAGCCAACGAGAAACAGGGTCCCCCTGGAAGCATCACCCAGCCCCCGAGTGGCAGTGCCAGGACTCGTCTGGCATTTGTGCCTTAGTCCCCTGCCACTCCAGGACTGGCATAATTGGCAGGTGCCACCCCCACCGCATCTTGCCTTTCCTTGCAGGTCACCCAGCCCCCGGTTTTCCTGGCAGTACCGTGGGACTCCAAGTCTTCGGAAGTAACATTTCTCTCTCCCACGCCCAGCCATGACATTGGATCCCGTCCCAACACAGAGCTGCTGGCTCGTTGTCATCGACCCTGCTACTCACACTGGATGACCCAGGTCCCTGGCCACCTCGGGGCTTCGGCTGCCTCCACCCCCATAGACACCCTATCCCCCAGCTTCCCGACCCACACACCCACCTCACAAATCTCTGAGCAATGGGCCTCGCCCGGGAGTCTGCCACATGCCAGGTCACCAGCATCCCTGCCAAGATGGGGAAGGGAGTGACTCAGTTCCCGCTTGCTCATCCCAGGGAAGGGACAGAGTGGGGAGGGAGGACCCAGACACCGCGCTGTTGCCTTGCTCTTCAGGATCACCCAGCACTGCCGCCAGGCGACCTGACATGTGTTTCCTCTCACAAGCTTCGCCGACTGCAGGACAGCCTCGCCCAGGGCCAGCAGGTGGTATGGAGGTTAAGGCAGCTAAGTCCCACATAGCTGACTACACAGTTCAAGTCCCAGATCTGGTGGCTTGAAAGTCATGCCATGTGTGCCTACGTGCCTAAAACCCCAGGAGGAGAATGGAAAAGGGATTGTGGTGGGGTCCCCCAGCCGGGGGGGGGGGGAACTTCTCAATTTCCCCCTCTGTCTCTGCAGTGAGTGCACACGCCCTATAGCAAAAACTAAAAAAAAAAAGAAAAAGAAATGGGAACTGAGGCCCAGACAGTGCCAAGGCCGAGGAGCAGGGCCAGGACAGGTGTTCTGATGCTTACAAAAGAGCAAGTGGCTCCCCTTCCCGCTTCATTCCTGGGGCAGTGCCTGCCCTAAGGGAGACTCTAGTCTGATGAGTGAGGCACAGACCCTGGCCTCAGGTCTGATGGGGACACACAGGCTGCACCCTCAAACAGTCCCTGGCCTGGTGGTCTTGTCTGGGAGGCCCCACTCCGATGGCGGGGACCAGGCCACCTGGGGCAGCTCCCCAGCTTGGCTGAGGGACAGGCCGCAGAACCATGGTCTTAGGGGGCAGTCACTAAGCTGTCTGAGAGATTTCAGACCATCCTGAAGGGTGGGGTTCGAGCAGGACCTAGGCCTCCTCTCTGGGAGCCGAGCCGGGGACAGAGCACTCAGAGGCTGGGGTCCGTCTCCACAGGGGGTGCCAGAGACATGACCCACCACCGGGTGATGACAGGGTGGGCATCTGCTCAGCCAGAGGACGTCGGATGGACCCCTGGGCCAGCAAGGACCACGGGCCACAGGAAGTACCTGGAGAGGTGCAGGGGCCAGAGGGCTAGTGCAGATTTCGGCTTTGGGAGGAAATCAGTTAGCAAAGCCTTAGCCGAGAGCAGCCTAGTTCCTGGGGAAGGCCAAAGAGGACAGGCGAGAGTGTGCAGGAGGGTGAAAGGAAGCTATTAACACGAAGCCAGCCCCGCGCGGGCAGAACCGTGTGCCAGGCAGGCCGGTCCAGCTGTCGGCAGCATCTGGCTCTCCACAGGAGCAGAGCAGCAGGCTGGGTGAGAGTGCCCAGGTCCTCCTGAGAGTTCAGCCAGGCCAGGTGGGTCAGGGCCAGGCCACAGGACCCCATCCTCTCTGCCTCCAGTCCCCTAGAGCTCCCGGATGGTGTGGGGTGGGCGTCAGCAGGTGGGAGAACACTCTAGAATCCAGCAGCCCCAAGCCTCCCACGGCAGACCCCAGGTCCCTGGACCTCTCTAACTCTGAGCACCTGCACCCAGGGTGGGGCGGGAGACCGAAGGAGGGGGAGGGAGGGCTGGAGAAGGAGGCCGAGGCCATCAGTGACCATCAGCTCTGACAGCTGTTGGAGCCCCATGGCCCCGGTCTCCAGCAAATGTCCTGCTGCCATCTGAGAAGCGCCAGCTGGACCGAGGGCGCCTGGGCCCGTTCCCCTGCACAACTCGGAACGCGGTGCCCCGGGAAAAGCTTTATTCTCTGCTTCGAGAACAAGATTCTGCACACACAAGTTGACAATCAGGTGATTTCACAAGACTTCCCTCCCCTCCCCCACCCACAGACAGACACTACGGAAGAGACCCCGGGCTCCCTCAGGCTCCCTCCAGCCTCACCCGCCCAGGGCTGCAGAGAGGGGTAACCATCCCCATGCGGACAGCCCCAGCCTGACAGGTGAGGTGACTGTTGAGGAACCACTTTCTGGGACAAGGAAGCTCCCAGAGGAGCCAGCGGGGACAGGAGTGGAGGAGGGACACACGGCATATGGGGTGTCCCCTGTGGCTTGGTGTTGAGAGGACCCCAGTCGTCCTGTCTCAGCTTAAGGACATGTGTGCCATCAGCAAGAGGGGGAGTAGGAGTGGGGGTGCTGGCAGGAGCAGGTTCTGGAAAGGGGTGGCCTAGCTGGAGACATGGTCTATCTGCCCAGACATCAGAGACCGCACGAGTCACCATGTCAGCCTCCTGCTGTGCCCAGTGTGGGACAAGGGGCTTGGGGTCGCCCACTGGGCTGGGCTGGAGCTCCTCCTGGCCCCTCCGCCCCCCTGGCTCCCAGGAAGCCCTGCTTCAGCCATCCCTGCTAAGGGGACTGCTTGGCGTCCACACTGATGAAACCTACCCCCTCCCTGGTGCTGTCCTCTCTCAGGAAGGCAGGGAGAAAGCCAGGGTCTAGGCTCCTCTCCACGGCTAGACCTGGGGCCACACTGATCTGCCTGCTCAGGGGACTCAGGGACCGGGCGTTTGCGTGTGGCTCAACGGGGAAGCCCTGGGAGGCGGCCCAGAGCCTGTTCCCCCACCCGTGCAGCCTCAGGTGGCCGTGAGGCCTTGACCCCACGTGGCTTCTCCTCTTCTCCACCCCCTCCCTGCCTGAGGCCCATCCCTTTCCCGGCCCAGTGTCCAGACAGATGGCCTCCTGCATGAGCAGGCCTGTCCTTCCAGCCCTGGCCTGGCCTGGCCTGTGTGGCCTTCCCAGGGTCACCCAGAGGGGTAGTAGGGGGTATCGCTGTGGTAGTTGTAATCTGGGCACACCTTCTGGACCAGCCGATAGTCTGTGCTGTAGAAGGCAATGTAGACACAGACGACCTTGAAGGGCTGGGAGCAGCTCCAGGTGGCAGAGCTCTGCGCGTGGTCTCGGGAGCAGGTCTTGGCTGGGTCGTGGGTGCACAGGGAGGTCCGGCGGCCCCGCTCCACCTTCTCCCACTCCATCCGGCAGTTGAAGATTTTGGAGGCCTTGGCTTCGATGAAGATCTGCTGCTCCTGGTGGAACTCCACGGCTTTACTGGGGGGCACGAGGCTGATGGAGATGTTGCCCTGGCCCGTGGCGTTATGTCGGAAGTGGACGCTGAAGGTCCCGTTGCCGTGGTCCACAATCTTCCCTGTGACGAGCAGGTTCAGGGCCACCGTCTTGATGTTGGAGTAGAAGTCGCCCCAGCCAAAGATTTTCTTCACCTTGGCGGAGGGTGGGGGGCTTTGGTTTGGGCGGTTAGGGGGCTGCCCAAGGACCCCCCAAGCTTCCCCCGGTGGAGCCAGCAGCCCTAGGAGAGTGGAGTTGGCCATGGGGCGGGACTTGGGCGACATGTGGCCCCGTTTCCGAGGCACCCGGGGCCGGGGCTGGCTCTCACGGTCATCATGGTCAGGGTCCTCCGAGCCGGGGGCACCATCATCCTGGCCACAGATGACCTAGGAGGGGGTTGGGAGGAGAGTGAGAGCTGTGTCCTGGAGGACGCAGGCGTTCTGGTCCACTGCCCCCCCCCACCGTCACCAGCACCACCTCTGGGTCCACTCCTCCCTCTCCGACTCCGGGCTGAGGGGCCCTGCATGCTGCCCACTTTAGCAGGGAGGGGGGTATCAGTGTACACTCTACCCCATGCCGTGGCCCCATCTCATGTTCAGGTCACTCCTGGGTCCTCTCCCCATGGTCCTGTCTCTGGGATGGTGAGAATTCTCTTCAGTGGACTGTGGCACTAGGGGGACACAGTCCTGAGGAGTCCCGTCTGATGGGGGAAGCCCGGCACCCTGGAGAGAGCCCGTGTCTGAGACAGAAGCACCCTCCCTCTGACGGGAGAGGTAGCTGCCCACCTTTCTGGCTTGTGCAATGCCAGGGTGAGGCGGAAGGCAACACCTCTGCCCCCACAACCCAGGCAGGCCGGGAGCGCCATCCCTACCCTGGGAGGGCCCCAGTGTGACAGGAGAGGCCCAGCCCCTGACTGTGGGGACTGCCTAGTCTGTTGGATGAGACGCTGTCCCCACCCTGGCATAAATTCCACCTGCAGATGCAAGGACAACCAAGACCACGGAGTAAGAAAACAGAACCCAGGGAAGCTTTCTCAAGGACAAACACAGTGAGGTTTGGGCAGGAGGGTGAGGGAGACTGGGAATGAAGCCACGCCGAGTGGCCAAGGGTGGAAGGCCGAAGCTTCCTTCCCTGGGGAACGCCGGTGATGACACGCCGAGACCCTTCTTGCATTATGAGGTAGGAGTTCCATTATTCCCATTTCACAGATGAGGACACCAGAGGCCAGAGGGCACGTCACTCCAAGGCTAAGGTCACCCAGGGTCACCCTCACAGCAAGCCATACACACCGGCCTCACAGGCCAGATGTGTCTTCTAAAGAGGGTTCCGTCCCAGCCACGTCCCCACCTGGAATCTCCTGTGAGACTCTGCCCAGGCTGGGTCAGCCCTGGTGACAGGCCACACCTGGGGGAGGGACGCTTCCTGGAGGAGCTGTGGGGAGAGCCAGCCTGGCAGGCTGGAGTCACTCCGGGACAGCTCTGGAGGGCATCAGGGACTTTGCAAGGTTTCCTAAGGGCAGTGGCCTGGCTGTGTTTGCTCAGCTTCTGAAAGACAGCACTGGCCCCGTGTGTGTCTGCCAGAGCCAGGGGCAGCGGCTCAGCTGGGACCTGGTGACCACCCCGGCTGGGGATGAGGGATGCCTGAGGGGCTGGGCGTGCGAGGGCTCCGAGGGGGTTTGGGGTCTTCGTGCCCCTTGCTCTGGCCTTGGCAGTGCCTGCTGATGCCTGCTGTGACTAACGGGGCTCTGGCCCGCACCTCCCCGCCCCCCGCCAGGCCCCGCCGAGGACTGGAGGGACAGCCGGGAGAGGAGCATTCACCTGCCCCCCCACCCCAAACTGCCCCAGGGCTGGGTTCAGGGCTGCGGACCTGTGTGTACTTGGCTCTGGGGGTCACAGCTGAATGGCTGGAGGACAGAGACGAGGGCCACAGTGGGGACGTGAGGAGGGAAGGGAATGGGGTGGTGGCAAAGGCGATTTTTATTTTGAGGGAAGGGGCAGATCCAGGCGCGGAGCTGCGGCTCCTCCACGACAGGATTGGCGGGAAGGTCGGCGGGCGCTCGGTCAGAGGGGAGTTAAGCGCTGGGCTGGGGTCGGGGTGGGGTTCCCGGCATCCTGGGCCGCGCCGGGGGCCGGCGCCGGGGGAGCGGGCTCTGGGCGCGCCGCTCAGCGGCCGCGAGCGCCCGGGGCGGGAGCCGCCTGCCCGGGTCCTGTGGGGCTCAGGCTGCGCGCAGCCGGGAGAGGAGAGGAAAACAACAGGCGGGGAGGGAGGGAGCGCGACGGAGGGCGGGCGGAGGGAGGGACGCGGGCCGCCCCCCGCTGGACCGCTCCGCGCAGAGGGACCCAGCGCCCGGGCTCTCCGCTCCTGGGGGCCAGAGGCAAAGCCCACACCCCCTGACCCGACAGGGCACCGGCTCCACCACCCACCCTTTACCTACCCCCTTCTGCGCGTCCCAGGGCGCCGGGACCCGGTCGGGTCACCCTGGGCGACCCGGCTCCGGGCCTTTTCCCCAGTGCTGGTCTCACCTCCAGCCACCAGCCGCGGAGTGGGTGGGCCAGCCAAGCACCCTCTCCCCGCCCCTATTAACCCTTCCGGTCCAGTCTCCGGCCTCGGACCCGCCCTCTCCCCCAGCTCCCAGTCTCCCCTTCCATCCCTGGAATGTCGGGGGGGAAGGGAGAAAGTTTCCGGGCGCAGAAGCTTCCCGCGCGCTCCCCCGATGCCCGGGGCCCCCGCCCCTCGGCGCAGCTCCCCGAGACCACTCACCAGATAGAGGCTGCCCTGCACTAGGAACACGAAGCAGCAGCGAGTCAGTTGCATCTTCCTCCTCGGTTCTCGTCCCCGCTTCTCTCCTTTTTTCCTTTCGGGGTCCCAGGCCCCTTCCTCCCCTTCCTGCTCCTTCAGGCGCGCCGTCCCATGCTCCAGTCCTCGGCGGCTCCAGGCCTTCCTCTCAGCCAGTCGCCCAGGACCGACCCCGCCCCCGTCGGTCCAGCTGTGTAGCTGCCGCCCCCCTCCCCTAGTCCAGCTGCGCGCAGCGCGGCCCCCGCTCGAGGTCCCCGACGGGCG